ACGAGTGTGCTCTTAACCGAATTCCACTCATTATGTTAAATTGTTTAGGTATTAATTATATTATTACCTATATATTTTTACGCATATGAATGGTTGTGTATAAACTATAATAAACCATGTTTAGATATTACTTCCATTTGTTTTTAAACATTTACTGAACATAGAACATATTTGGGAAAAAAGTTTAAATTTAACTATTTTTGGGTTTAAAATACCACCCATATTATTAGAAAATTATACTTATACTTAACTTTAATCGTCGTAAATGAAGCGTATAATAGGTATTTAAATTGTAAATATTTTTATCATGTAAGTAAATGAATATATTTAATTGATATAAATTAAAAAAATCTAATTGACTTCTCGATCGTGCTCATCAGCTTTATAGTTACCATCAGGGTACGTACTGCTTCTATGTATAACATTATAATAGCGTTTAGTACCGACAATAATTATTTGATTCCGCTCACAGACATAATGCATTAATATTACAGATGAGTACTCTGGTAGTTGGTACATATAAATATAGTATTGTTATTATTATTATATATAGGTAGATCGTAGATAATTTAATATATGCAAACTACTATGGTTGAACTGATTACCAAAACGGCGATTGTATTGAACTACGAGTGCAGCGGTAATGTCCGCAATAACCTCTCGTTCGAACATAGTATATACTTATGGTAAATATAATTGGTAGTGAAATGCGTTTATTATTATAGTTATTATAGACTATAGTTACCAGTTTACAAATATTATAGTACCTGCCTTATACCATTTACATAGGTACAACTATAGGTAGATAGAAAATATTAACGTTAAAGCGACATGATAATTTCTAGAACGTGCCACCAATTGGTGGCTTGCGTGTGTACGTATATACTACGTACACCCTAGTAATAAGAATAACAAAAAGGAGAAAAAAAATTGGATCAATAATCTCGTGATTGAGAAATGTTAATAGAATTATACATCGAATCGTCAACGTCTACGTTGCGGTGGTTTTTTGATCAATCGATCGAAATAAATTATTCGTAAAACAAGGTCGGCGTGGCTCCATAACAGACTACGCATATATATATATATATATGTACACTTAGCACAACAGTCGTATACTCGTATCGATCGGACAAATTGATTGTTAACGGAGCCTATACAATACAGTGACGGTGGAACTTAAATTCACCTGACGAATTATTATTCAATGGCGATTACTATCGTAAGAACCGATAAGAGAAAATGAATTGCAAAATCGTCAACAAATGACAGTCGCGTGTGACAACTAAAAAGTGCGTCGTAGTTACTATATAAATGGTATATTTTTATCACACTCGACAAAATATTTAAATTTAAACAATGTATTCCATAAAGTTATCATTAAAATCATATTAACTGCAGTGGATTATGATTCATTAGAAATTAGTACAAAATACAAAATGTTTAGGAATTATTGTCAAATTACTGCTATACTTATATATTAGTGCCATAGAATCTACATAAAACTTATCGATTCTAAGGCTATAAATATTAAAATCATTTTTATTTTAAATTCTGAGTGATTCAGATACTCCGTTTTATAATCGTTTTAACGGTTTCCTTCTCCAAAACATTTTTTGCGGTTAATTCGATCAACGATTTTGTCTTTCTATAGTTTGAAAATGTAAAAAGTAGTTTGAAGTAGCTTATTTAATATTGAATCACGTTCGATATTCTCTGAAAACTAAAATGTAAGCAACATTTAAAGTTAAATCTTGAACATTTTAAGCTTAATATTGAGATATGTTTGAAATAGTCTTATATGAAAGTGATATAATTAAATTGAGTGCCTTTAAAATTTAAAATAACAAAAATTTGACCTTAACCGAGTTGAGCGAAGCGAGACGAGTGCCCAATGCCCAGTTTCTGTAACCTGTTCGTACTTATAGTTTTATATAGATTCTAAGCAACGCGAGTATAAATACAATGATGTGCTGATTTTTTGTTACCTACGACCAACATAGTTTAATGAGATTTATTAATATTAATGTTAATGGTAGTCACGATTTTTAAACTTCTTTTTTTATCACCAAATATATGTTTTTATGTAAATTAATACATTAATTATTTGTATTTTTAATACACCATACACATAAGTCGTAGGTATATTATAATGCTATACATTTTTCGATACGGTTTATTCAAGGACATTAATGTAGAGCGTTTCAAAACGATCAATCTATATATATACCTAGCAAAATGTCATATTAAAGAATAATTTAAGTAAAGTAAATAAGACAGACAATGTTGAAAGTATCAACAATTTATGTTTAGTCATACACTTCAAAATCAATTAAACACTTAATTTTAAATCGATTATTTAGTTCAGTTAATAGCCTGATTGGAGTGTGTTATAATATTGTAAATCAATTCTTATAACAAATTAAAACATTGAAAAAGGTAATAAAACACACTTTTATTGTATAATATTTAAAAACAGTATACTGAATTGTACGAGTATAGGATTTGGTGAACGGTGTTTAAAAAAATAGTTTCCAGTTTTAATGAATGATATAAAAACTCATATGAAATGTTATTCAACATAACTTCTATGGTTAAGTTAAATATATATTATTAATACATAGTAATACACAATTTAAATTAGTCTTACGTTTCTTATGCAAGTAATGATTTATATATTATACGTATAATGTTTATAATTTTCTTACATAATAGAGTGCCGATAAAAAGTAATAGACACTATTGACGTCGTCTTGTTTTTGCCTTACTAGAATTCATACATCTATTTTGTAAGTTCATAAATTGTGTGTACCAGTGTACCTATATGATGTGCCTTTATCTGAATTATATCATAATATATAATAAAATATATAGGTAGTTACTATAATAGTGTTCATTAATTTATGACTACCAAAAACAAACTTTCTAAGTATTTTATTCTATTTTAAATTTTTATAGCTTCCTGCATCTTTATTTGGAGTTGATATATTTTCACAACTTTATCGTTTGCTTTCAAAATGTAACAAAAAAGAGACAAATCATTGTTGCACAATTTTTGAATATATTTTAATGCATTGTACAAAAATTAATGTGTTTTAAAATTATGGCATACATGATGAACAATTTGCAACTTTGTGTAAGGTTTATTTCACAAGTCATTCCTTATAAATAGGTACCTCCGAACCGTCTAGTATAGGTATAAATGTACAAATCATTATATGCGTGTCTATCTTGTCTGATTGTTATGGAAAGAAAAAAAAACTGATGAAATGAAGTTAAACCTATTGTCACTCGTGTGCACCCAACTCGTGAACTATTATCGATATCCGGTAATCTGTCGATTATATAAAAAAAGTAAATACAATTTTAAATTATGTAATCGGACTTGAGCGCATTTAAACGTGCAATAGAAACAATTGTGTGAAACCATTGACATCTGAATCTAGACGACAATCGCTTTTTGTCGCAATGTTTATCCAATTCCAATAATGTATATCGTTAAATACGACGTGCAACGCCGAGTGCTATATCATGAAACTGTTTGTACGTGTTATATAGCAGGCTGATGGTAGTTGTCGTTTTGTGTACTCACAACTCACAAGACGGCCAATTAGAAAAAAAATGACAAGAAGGAAGTCATTAAAATTGAAATGTACTCGCACGCATGCCAGGTCGTTAAAATATGTAATTCTCGACAGCATTTGGCGTCCTCGTGGCGTTATTCCGATTTAAGTGTATAATATATATTATAGCATTATTATACGTATAAAGTTTCCTCGTCGTAAAATTCCGGTTTTTTTTTTGTTCTTGTATTCACTATTTTGACCTGAAAAGAAGATTACAACCGGTCATACAATTTTTTTATTTTTAAAGAACCGATAGGTGTAAAGTTTTGTATACTTTCTATATCCGTATGTATAATAATAGTATATTAATAATAATAATACAAAAAAAACAGATCGCGGGAGAAAGTGTTATATGAGGCATAAACCGGTCGCACCCAGTCTCGACTCACATCGGGCGTCACCAGACCTGTTATCATCACAGTTGACCAACTAATACGGTTTTATTTGACCCATGCGTCAGACATTCGCCAAGCTAATGTACATTAAAATTGTTCAAATCGTTGAAGTTCCTCGGTTAATTGCTTTTCTACCTGCTAGCAATGACGGCCACGGAAGCACGGATAGATGATAGGACATTTGAATTTGGCCCCGCACACGGCTTATATCAGGTTAAAAAAACCCTAAATTTGAGTGTTTTAATTATGTGTATTTACAAACAATTCTATAAAGGAAAATATTAAGAATAAATATATAATATTATTGATTGAAACGACAGCGTCAACGACGTCGAAAACGACTAAAATCATGAATGTTGTCCAGGACCATACAAAATACAGCGCTGCCCCGTCTGCCTGCCACTAGCTATAGTTCATAACAAATCTAACGATTTACAATTCATTGGGATATTTTTCTCACACGTACGGACGTTAAATTATTTTTACATTTAAATGCCAGGGTTATTTTTATTAAACACATTATGAATACATATATTATGTTGTACGTATGGGACATTTGGGACACAATCACAAATTGTAATATTGTATACATTACTACATTAGTATTATCAGTCAACGAGTAATTAATTTTAAATGTTTTAGAATTTAGGCATTTGGTTTTAAAATGCATTTTAATGTCTATATTTTATTATATTAAGACAATTTAATTTCCGACAACACTGTAGTTTTCATTAAATATATTAGTTTGGTGTATTAATTAACGTGTAGAGACACTATATTTATGTATTACATAATATAGTAGTCTATGTGCATTGTGCAGTGGCTCATATAGTTATGACGAATATAATATCTTATCGATAATATTTTGTAAACGATCGCGCTTCATATACGAATAATAATTACAGTATAATATATTATACTCGCAAGTCTCTGGAGTCTGGTACAAAATTGTTCTAACAACAATTGATTGGTTTTTCAGATGATTTGATGGTGGTGATTCCAACCAGTATGCCGGCTGACGACGGGCGAACCGCGGCCGACCACCGCCGGCAGCGCAATGCGACCACCAGATCGGTGATAGGCGCTCTCAGGAGAACGCCGACGCCACCACATCACCGGGGAGGATCCGGACTGGTTCCGCTGGACGCGCTGCCGGATGTCGACGAGTCGTCAATGCCCCGGGTCAAGAAGAAGATCAAACACAAACGGACGTGGGATGAACCTGAGGCCCAAGGATCCGAAGTCCGGAACGCCACTTCCAAGAGGCCTGACCGAATCAAGACCCGTAGGCGGTTGTTGGTGCCGTCCTCGAGCACAGCCAGGGCACTCCGGACGGCGGCTTTGTCGTCGCCTCAAGAAGAATCGTACTATGATTTCGGCAAGAAGATCAGACACCCTACACAGTCGCAGTCACCATCCCCACAGTCAACTGTGGACAGACTCAACGCGTCGTCGGATTCGGAGACCAGGACGTCAGTCAGGTTGCCGGTGGTCGTCCAGCAAGTAATGCAGGACGCCACACCCCGAGCCAGGGTGCCTGGACCACCACCGCATAACCGCAACCACAGTACCGTAGCAGCGACTAGGCGGCCCACGGAGAACTCGGCGGCGGTGGAGTGCTTGTACCCAAGGTTCAGCAGGCGGAACAACAAATCTAGGGCTCGAAGGGACGTTCGGTGCTTGCCAGAATCGGATGGAAGAACTACAAGAATACTGTCAACCGTCGTCACGTCCGTGTCAGTCAGGGGGAGCCCACAGAAGAAAAATGATTCTACCACCGACCTTGGTCGTCATTCTATAGACAATCACCGCACAGACGCCAACGACGGCGACGATGCGACCGGCGCGTACAATCCAGGGCAGCCTACGTCTACGGTGAGTCCGGACTCCGCGGTGTCGGCGTACCCAAAATACCTCCGAAACCGGTACCGGAACATATCGCTGCCCGAATACTTGGAGATAACCAAAGTCAACCAGAGACGGTTGAATGGCACGACTGTGGCAGGAACTGCATCCATAGCTTCCACCACTGCCTTCACCACCACCATCACCACCACCACCACCGCCTCAACAACAGCCACTTCCACCTTTGCAGCAGCTTCTAGGCCATCGTCTCCGGACCATCCAGTCGATGGCACTACTGAAACGCTGGATGCGTCCACAACAGGTGACCGGTCTTCCACCGACACCCCTCAGCCACCACCTACCGACTTGCAAGATTTCATCTACCTGAACAACGGCACATCAGAAGCTCCTGCCGACGATATCGCCACTGATATCGCCGCCACGGTTGTCTCGACCATCCATACCACAACCACAGTCGACGCAGCCGTCGAAGCCCGTCAAAGGAGGCCGCTGCTGCAGCGTGGCAATGTCACCAGGCCGTCGGCCGAACACGATGTTGGCGTAGTGTATCCAGATGGGCTGGCCACTTCTGTGTACTTTTTAACGTTTTTGGCCATCGTTCCGTTGGTGTTGGTAATTGTTTTCGCGTTCAAGCTGGCCATGCGACGAAAAAAGAAGAAGGTGTTTGACAGTTCGGAATATTCTTCCGAGTACAACCGCAGCCCGCTGGACTTCAACACGATCACGTCATCACCGATCACCACAAAACTTCCCAGGGTGCCTCAGCACATCGTGTGGGACGCCGAGAAAACACCCGCCGTCCCAGTGCCGATGAGCAACAGCCGTTGGGAGTTCCCCCGAGAAAAGCTGCGGCTTCAGACCATACTCGGTCAAGGCAATTTTGGTCAGGTGTGGAAGGCTGAGGCGGATGACATTAACGGACATGAAGGCCTAACCAGGCTCGTCGCTGTGAAAATGGTCAAGGAGGACGCAGCGTCCCGGGAGAGAGAAGATCTGATCAGAGAGCTGAGTATTATGCAACATCTCGGATCGCATCCGAACGTTGTCACGTTGCTGGGATGCTGTACGGAGAAAGGTATAATATATAGGATATAATCTTATGAGTACATATATTTTTTCTTCACTGTAGGTTATTACAAGTGAAAACCATAATATTATACCATTATCGTTTCGTGTTTGTTGCAGAACCGTATTTACTGATCATGGAGTACGTTATGTACGGCAAACTATTGGCGTTCCTTAGAGATCGACGGACACGATCGCATTATTTTAATTTTAGCGACTCGACTGCTTCGCTCACGTCTAGAGATTTAACAATGTTTGCCTATTGCGTAGCACGAGGAATGGATTTTCTGGTTTCGAAAAAAGTACGAACTGCAGTGTTATTCTATTTACATAAAAAGTTTCACCTACCAATAAGCACGTTGTTAGTCAGTGTAAAATTTTATTGATTTGTTTATTTGATGTACTAAAGAGAGTGCATATTATAATGTATATTTTACATTTCCTTTATAAGACTTTAACATATAACAAATTAGGTATTATAATACTTAAACTATTAAAAATATTTGAAAGTAATGACAGTGGTGAGTTTTGAAGCTTATTAATATTATCTCACCTCTTGTCGTGCTTAATAAAATGTAAATTCAATGAACTAAATTAGTTTTTCTCACAAACCACACACGTTTTTCTCTTTTTGCCTATATTAAATACTATTATTAATTGATCATGTTGTTCTAATAGATAGTGCACAGGGACTTGGCCGCGAGAAACGTATTGGTTGACCACAATAAACTATGCAAAATAGCCGATTTCGGTATGTCTCGCAATGTCCGAGACACTAACCAGATTTACGAGCAAAGGCATACCAAGGTACGGCTCCAACATCTACTAGAAATAATGTTATAATTATTTTGTATAAAACCGTGTTTTATATAAATATTTTCATTTGCAGGGTGCCTTGCCTATCCGTTGGATGGCACCAGAGTCGTTGCACTATAGTATATTCACATACAAGACTGACGTGTGGAGCTTCGGTGTACTGATGTGGGAGATCGTCACTCTAGGTGAGCAATATTATTTTAATTAATTTCGTGAAAATTGCTTAAAAGAAAATTGATATCTATAAATTAAAATTAATTTCAATATGAACCGTCGATATTCGATGGCATCATCAATAAAGTCATGTGTGAGCCACCCTATTACGACCTAAATGAGTTGAAAAAATAAAGTAGCCCTCCCCCCTCGAGTCTCGAGGAATATTGATATAAATGTTATTGAAAAAGGTCCAAATTGTTGATCATAGCGCACAAACAAAAAAATATTAATTTATGTTACAACTTACGGACATGAGCTTGGCTCTGAGTCTGGACTCTCTGCCTTTTTATTTTCATTAAAACCTTAATACAAAAATAACGTTTGTCTGCATGTATGTAGTTACTTTATAATTTGTTTTCCAAAAACATCCCTTTATAGCGCTCCGAGGTCACCACCGTCTTAGGAATGCATCTGTGACGTATAACTTTTATTGTTATTATATATCCACAAGTGGTTACTCAGTGATCGAAGCGGGGGAATACGGCGGGATGGCATTTCACCACTTTTTTACAATTCATATTTTCCATCCCTCCATTCCCTCCACTCATTTTGTACGACCGTTTAAGCAATAAATGAGAACTATATATAAATTATGTATGACATCCCTCCACTTATTTTGAGCCACTTCAACCATCGCGGTTACTGCAAAACGTAATATTATCGATAACAAAATATATAAATAATATTTTAACATTTCTTGCATACTTTTTTAGGTTCAACCCCTTACTGCACAATGGGCGCCCGCGAAGTAATGAGACGCGTGCGTGAAGGCTACAGACTTGACAAACCAGCACATTGTCGATCCGAATTGTTCAGGGTAATCACCAAGTGTTGGGCGGCCGACCCGTCCAAGCGACCCACGTTCGCCGAGCTGAAACAAGAGCTGGGAGCACTTTTGGAAAACCCAGAGTTTGAGGGCAGCTACGTGGACCTAGAAAGCCTCGTCGACGAGTCAGACAGCAATGCCAAAGACAGACAATAATAATATTAGACGTGCCTATAATGTACGCATATCCATATGCAGACCAAAACGATCTCCCAGGGACGTTTTTATCGATTTCTTCCCATAAGGATCACAAAAAAATTACATTATTTTTCATTAGATTCCTTTTTGATTTGCAAGTCATATAAGTAGTTTTATACTTAGAACAGAAATATTGTAGACTCTAATGATTATTATCGTGAGTTCGAATTTGATTTGTTTTCATTTTATCGTAACTGCAAGTATCACGATTGAATAAATGTATGTTATTTATATACGATATATAATATATATATATATATATATTATTATTATATTATATATTTTTTTACCTAAAGTAGCGAGGTGGAAAAGAACTGATTTGATGTATTTGATATGCAACATAAATCAATATGATTGTAATTTAATAAGCATTTAAATATACTATATTATAGTATGTATATCATTAGATGTTAGGTTTATTAGTCTATTGTATGTCTGTTGGTAAATGTATAGTAAAATTAAAATGTGACATTATTTTTTTTTTTAATTGATAAATATAACTATCTATGTGTATTTATTGTTTCACTTGTTATTTGCTCCATATTAATATCCAATTAATGTAATTATGATAATTTCATAATTGAAGAAAAAAGTACGGTACCTACACAATTTTGTTATATATAGTCAGATTTAGAAATTTTTTGGTTGCATTTCATATTTTTAGTGGTACGAGGGTTGTAACGGTTTTGCGATGATGTTTGTGGTGTCTTAACAATCATATTAAACAAGGATTTAAATTTGTCATCAAACATTTTTATTAACATTTTCTAAACGTGATATGTTTTTAAATGTATAGACATACTACAAATAACAATATATTTTTAAAACTAGCAGTACTGCTTAACTGCAAAGTATGGGTATCGACAACACCTCGTCATTGAATAGGTTGCTTTCATGAAAATGTTGAATTTGAATGTTGACTTCAGTCCAATTACTACCCCTGCATAATTTATACTTCTTTTAGAAAACATATTATTTACATATTGTAGAATACGCATATGAAATACAACAAAATAAAGGAACCGAGAAATTGAATCTGCTCTATATAGTGTATCTCGACAAGTGGGTACCGCTCTACTGTACAGGAGGGGGAACGCGTAAAATGACAAAAATACACGGTGTATCAAGTCTTTATTCAATTTCAAAAATTTATATTTATATTAAAAATGAAGATATAAGGAAGAAATAAAGTAAAATATATTCTTAAAATAGTCAAGTTTTATTTACTTGGGTTACAAATGTTCAATATGACCCCCACCGGCCGCCTAACACACATCTATACAGTAATCAAATTCTTCCCAAACGTTGCTGATTATAATATCTCGTGTCACACTGACACGGAAATAACAGCATCTTTAATTCTGATTTTAAGCTGTTCCAAGTTTGTAGCTAATGGTGGAGCATACACTTTATCTTTTATGAAGCCCCATAAAAAAAATCACATGTCAGGGGAACGTGGTGATCAGGGATGAATCGCCAAATCGTCGTTTCCTTTACGCCCAATCCACCACTGAGGGAGTTCACCGTTCAAATACAGGCATACCAGTTTTATCAACTAGATAACTTAAAATAAACTTAGTTATCTAATCTTTCCATAATTCCATTAATACATTGGTCATTAACCTGCGATTAACCGTTGCCGAACTATATCAGTTCGTAATCGCCAATCGGATGAAGACTTTTGAAACACTCTGTATTTCGTCGTTCGGCCGATTCATATTTCAGCCGAAAAATAATAACGTTGAAAAGTTTATTAGCAGAACCATATTTTACACGACCCGTATTTTAGCCGACAATTAATATTGTGAACAACTTTTGAGGTGGTGTTGCACACTTAATGCATAGCAAGTCCAGGGATATTTTCGTTTATTTCGTCCGAGAGCAGCACAGAGAGCGAGTGACCACGCTGACATCAATGTAAATAATTTAAGATCTTATATTGGTGTCACTGCTGGATCACTGATATAAACATAATGATGTCTATAACTGCGGTTACGACAGTAATATTAGTATATTACCATGCTCATTTACCGTTCGGCTGAAATGTGGTTCGGATTAAATATTTTTCGGGCAAAATACTGGCCAATGAAATTAATTATTCTCGGCTACAATATTTTCGGATTTCTTATAGTCACTCTGTCTATAAAGCATAGTAATTATGCTTTAAAAGTTTCAAGTATACCAATGAATAATATTTTTAGTTACAACCAAATAGGCAACTTAAATCTCCGTTTAAATAACTATAATTTCGTCCAAATTTGAACTTCTATTAAAAAGAAATGCATACATAGAGTTTTTAGATTTTATGGTTACAGTATGAAATGCTTATAACAAACCATGTTTTAAATTGTCAATCCTTAACTATAAAATTGATTTTTTTATACATTTTTAACTACAAAATAATTTGCAAATTTTATCAAAATTTGAACATTAAATGCTTATAAAACAAAATGGTTCCTATGAACTTTCAATATTTTTAAACTACTTTTGTAACAACGTATAAGGAACCTTGTACTCAATTGTCTAGCTTTTTGATCCAGCAGCTGAAAATATTTCAAAGATATTTATAGAAAAAAAAATGGAAAAAATTGAAAATTAAATTTTTAATTTTTAAATAATTAATTTTTCATTTATATTTCCCGAATTCACCTTAAGTTACTAAAGTTGAAAATTGGAACACTATTTCAACTACTTATAGTGTACACAGACAAAAATGTTTTTTATCTATGATGACTTTGCAGTACCATGTGGCTTGTCTGTCTTCACATACTTATGTATTATTTGTGATGCCGAAATAATAATATTGTTAAGCTAATATCCCTTTCCAGTACCAATTTCTAACGACGCTACTGTACCACTGTATCAGCCAAACTAAATTTTGTTTTATTACTTTGCCCAACAATGTTTTTATACAGTAGGGCGTAGGCTATATTATCTTAAAAACGTTTTAACACGCTGGCAGCACCTAATAGGAAATATATCAGCTTACCGGTTTTAAGTTTTCAAACTTTGGTCCACAGCTACTGTATGGTTACATAATTCTAACCAATTAATGTGTCTAGTGTATCTTATTCTATGTTAATATGCTATATATATCAAAACAACAGAAAATATTTCAACTGAAGCAAATCGGAAACGATAGAATTTGTTTAGCGTTGGATGCAAAATGGTACAGAATTGCACAATAGCAAACAAAATAACGTGGCTGGTAAATCATCCAGTGTAAACAATAACATGGGAAATGTATTAACGTCAGTACGTCATACCTGCCGGCCAACTATCTCTTTTTTTTTTACTGGATTTCAATTTAGTCTAGAATCACGAATTTTTGGTTACATTTGAATAATTTGTTATAAAGTGGTTACAACATGTGAAAATGTCATTCCATAAAATGGTCGTATTGGAGACTGGAGCGCTGTGGTAACATCATGCTAGCACCCGGTAAAGCAAGCCGCGCCTACCTTAACACATTTTTAAAGAAATGTTAACTTGTAAATTCAAAAAAATCATCTCTGCCTATCATTCATACGAGTGGTCCTCTTTTCTATCACTGTCACTGGCACTTTATGGCCAAAACTTTTCGTTCACTTTTCGACCAATATAGTTTTATTTAAAATGTACAATTATAACAACTGAATACTCAACAAATTTTTGTATTTTTATCAAAATGTTCATTCATTAAATATGATAGTGTTAAAAAATGTGATTTTTCAATAAAAATAGTATTACTTAAAGGCTACAGCTGTGTGAAAAAATAATCGGGAATAAAATGATTTCACATATTATTTCCTTAGTCGAAATAATAATTAATTTTTGTTTGACAAATATTCCTAATTTTTTAGTCTTCAATGTAAATTTAACTCCGTTCATATTTGATTTCTTGGAAATAAAGATAAGCCATTGTTGTTCCTCTACTAGGTACTTTGTTTGCTACAATAAGTGCCTGTAATTTAAATCATAATTTTCATAAATGCATATTATAGTATCATAATTATTATTACATAGATTTTGTAAGACTTTATTTACTTTCATTCTATGTATGTAATATCACAGTCCACAGATTATAAGAAAATACAGCATCAATTCTATGATAATATATTATTACATTTTATTGCAATTATTTTATTTTATTATTTTTCACATAATTGCAGCTAATAGTTTTTATCAAAAAAATACATTTTCAATAAAATATAAAATTGTTAGTTCAGTTGTTATAACTATAGATTTTAAAGAAAAAAAACTACATTGGCCAAAAAAGTATGAGTATCCGAAAATGGTGATACCCATTCTCACGATACGCAGTTAGGTACCCAGTGGCGTAATTAGAAATTTGTTTTGGGGGGAGAATTCAAGGCCGTAGCCAGTCGCCAGTGTGGTTAAGGTTCAGACTCCCCCTAAATGAACAATTTTAATTTTAAATTTTAAAATTTGCTAGTCAAAAAGCATATTTATACTCTAACCCTCCCCCTTAAATTCTTCAAACAAATTTCCTTCAGTGGTGTCTGGTTTTTTTTTTAATTGAAAAGTTTTATTTATAATTTAATATCATCAATGCTTGAGTGTTAATTAATTTATGACAAATAAAAGTAAGTACCAACAATTGCACATATACCTAACTGAAAATAGTAAAATACTCTGGTGAAATTTCATGATACAATTATACGAATAATATTGGTACATGATATTATTAAGTATTATAATTTATAATATATACACCGATCAGTAGTACCTATTGTTCAGTTTTAAAATTATATTTGTTATATTTATTAAAAGTTGGTAAAAAATAGTATTCGAAAAACGCAGAAGACACAGCACTGAATCGCCAAAATAAATACTATAGGTACCTAATTATAGTTAATACTACCTACATAGTCAACTGAGCGCTTAGTGAACGCGCATAAACGGCGATTAGCAGTGTAGCGTGTGTAGATCACACAGTGGAAAAACGAGTGTCAAACCCGCTGCCGTGCGATCACACATATATTATTATGTACCTAGTAATAAAAATCATAATTATTTTTTAGATTTGAGAATATTTCAAGTTTAAATTGTCATGACTTTTACTTTGATCAAAATGTCTTCAAAAAAAAGTTGCGGCGGGATACATCCCCTTTCCTATAGAATTAAGCCACTGTGGGTACCCTAATTGAATCGGCGCATTCGAATTGCGTCCCTAAATTATATTTTATCCGAGTTGCATCCACGGTTTTCTCGTGACAAGTACGAATTGTGTACGGGTTTTCAGCGACTATGTTTGGTTGATTAACTCGTAGATAACTTCGGTTATGGATATATTATCTGTAAATACAGTAAAAATAACAGTACGTACTACGTAGATATAAAATTAATTTTATTAATAGTTTGATTTCAATAATATTTGTAATCTATTTTATTATATTTTTTTCATAGATTTTTTTTGTTTTATAGTTTATCGACTCCGAGGTGATTGTGACATTCTAATCGCAAATGGATGACCGTTAGACAGCGCTAGTGAATTATATTTTAAGTTGATATCGTTCTCCGGCTTCCCGCACAAAATCGCGGAGTAGATTTATTTTGTCATGATAATAGTTCTGTCTTGTCTACTATGTAATCTACCTCGTAACTGTGCAAGTTTATTTTTGGTTATGATTTTCAATGTTTGACAAATGAAAAATAGGTATTCTATTTAGTATTTTGAACAAGGTATTATGTTTTTAGTTCTTCACTATCTATAATATTATGTTTGGTGTATTGAAGTCCAACATAGTTTGCAGATTTCACACTGTTCGTGTCCCATACTTCCATGAATTATAATTTCGTCTCAATAAATAAATGTATGTATTTAAATGTTAGTGGATTGTTCAGCTAGCAATACCGATTCACGTACTCCCTATACCTACTCCCTTCATTTTGTTGTCTACTTGTTCACCGGTATTTGTTGGTTATACCTAAAAAATATTTTAACATTATTTTAGGATACGGTTTTATTGAGTTATTCAGTAATTTTGTTTATATTGATCGCTGTGCACGCTACATAACAATATGGCCATTTCCAACTTGTCAAGTTTTTCCTCGTCTATGGGTGAATCAAATTCAGAAGAGGAATTTCAATTGTTTAAAACCCAACTCAAGAAGGTTCAAGATCTTATCGAAGAATACAGCAACAAAAGTATGTACATACCAAATACTTACCTATGTTTTGTTTAACTTATGGTCATCTAAGTTCATTTGTATCATATAATTTTTATTAATTTTTAGTCGTCGACAATACATTGTGTTCAGAAGATTTAGCTAACATGAAGACAGAAATGAAATATTTGACAGAACTTGAGCAGAATGTGACTTCAGAAAAAATGAGTAAGTATATTCTTAGGCATAGGCTCCAAGATTTCAAAAATCATTGGGTGCTCAACTGCATTTGGTGAAAATCTCCCCTTCCTCCATCAATATATATATGTGTGTATGGCTTTAAATTTATTCATAATAATAGTGATATCCAGTGCTGGATTATGACCAATCACTGCCCTAGATAAAACATTAATTCATAGCACATTGTAAAAAAAATTACACTTACATTTATAAAGTACGTTTACAAGTACCATCATAAAACTAACCACGGCAATCTGTTAATCTGTTATTGAAAGGTAGTTTAAATTAAGTTAGAATGTCAGATTCAGATATGACACAGTTTTGGACTTTTACACTGTACAATTGAGTGCTTATATGTCAATATAAAGAGGTTTTTTGGGGGGGAGTAACAACTGTGCCGTTTTTTTATTTTTTTTTTAATGGTCACCCCCATACCTACGTATTCAAATAATTTCATTTTCAGAAGCTAATTATGTATCGTACAAATCCGTATCTTTGAAAATGGTTCAAGAATCTTATCGTATTTGTAATTGGCTCATGGAAAAGCAATGCAGTGAAATGGATAATATTTTTGATATAGACACATACATTGATAAAATTGTTTGTATATTTCATTATATTATTTACATTGTCTAATAGTTAAAACATTTAAACAGGTTTATTTTTTTTCCATTTTTTAAAATAATAGATTGAAGTATGTGTTAATAAAAACGATCCTTTGGCCCACATAAACACTTTATTCAAGGGTGCCTTCAAAAACATCCATTATTTTAATCTAAGTTTCTACGGGAACCTTAAACCAGAAGAGTCTGTAGAAGACCAAGTACTAACACAATCAAAAAAAGAATACAGAAGATCACAAAAAAGACAATTAGAAGATCTTGTGGTTCCCGATGAGGTGGATAGAATATTATTAAATATAATATTTATTTTACTGTATTTATTACATTGATTATAATTGGTTTTATTATTATTTAGGTGGGAAGTGAAACTGGTGACAACGAATTACAAATCACTTTATTAAGAGTAAAAAATTGTTTGAAAAAAGCTGTGTTAAATAATCAAGGGGATCCAGTATCATTCCATAAGTTTGCTATTGATCCATTTAGCTTGACATATACAATTGAAAATTTGTTTCATTTGGCTTCATTAGTGAAAGATGGTGTTGTCAAAATTGAAAGAATTTCAGGTTATTATGTATATTTAAAAATAACTTATTATGCATGATTTCAATTCACTTCTCAGCCTATTTTCCTATTGTTTATTTTTGATTTTAATCTTTTTTGAACCTTAAAATAGTAAAATAATAATAATGTTGGATATTAAGAATGATCCAAACAATTTATATACTGATGCATTGTTATTTATAATGAATATTAATCATTCTATTGAATCACATTGTAGTTTAAAGAATTATATACATTTTTGCTATCTCCATTAATTAAAACAAAATCCAAAATACATTTCATAGTTTATTTTATTTATTTGTTATAGAATAATTTTAATTTATGATGAGAAATCAAATATTTAAATAATGTACCATGTTAATTTTTGTTATAATTAGCTATGAGACCTGGATAATACGCATATTAATTTAATATTCATAGTAAATTTATAGATTTATTATTTTAAATTCAAATTTAAGAATTTACAAACTTAATTGATTTTAATTGAATACGCATCATGTTTTTAATGTTTATGTAATATTTTATAATATACTGATTAGTGATTATTTTTTCCACACAGTTGGTGAAAATGAAGAGTTTTCAACAATAACATTGGGAAAAAAAAATAGTACTAGTGCTAAGTCTAAAGTAGATGACATCATATCTTCTTTATTCACAATGAATCATGAATTATGGCAGGTAATTAATATCTTTTATTTTTGACTCATTATCCTTTACAATTAAAAATATCATAAATGATACTTTATTGTTAATACCTCAAATTAATGTTTAATTTTAATTTTTCAGTATTATATCAAAAAATATCATATAACTGAACAAATGATCAAACAAGACGAGTAAAATTATTATAAAAATATTTTTGAATGTTTGTTTTAAATAAAAAAATTGTTTAAAAACTGATTTATTTTTTTTTTTTTAAACCACAATTAGCTTAAAAATGAAAAAGACATGAAATTCTCCACCGATTTATGGTAGTTCTAAATCCAACCATAAAACTCTCATAATAGTCTTATCTATTATGACATATTACGAATATGTGTCAATAATAGCAAACAAGAAAAATAAAATGCTTTTAATTTAAATAATATACTTATTTTTCTGACTTAGTTATTAATAAATACCCTCTGTTTTTTCAATTATCTTGAAAATTTGATTATATTACAGTATTCATGTCCTATTATTGCCCAGATTAAACTGGCGAGCTATCGAGGAAATCTCGGTGGGTCGCTTAAAAATAATGTATTATGTTAAAATATATGTACATACCTACATCTAATTATATAAATATATATCTAAAAGAAAATCAAATTTTAAAAAGTCATAGTAAATTGATTAAAAATAATGGTCATACTACTCGCACTAAGGTCATGATGATTGATGAGTATAAAATGAAATGTGTAAAATTTGCATGTATCTAGTTCTAAACTTATATACTGAACTTACAATAATAATATTTTCCCATTATAATTAATATGCTATTTATTTGATTACAAACTATAAAAATTAAAGCAGCCCCCGCTTGACATTCAACAACAATAATATAATTTCCACTAATTTGTAATAAATCTTATCGGCTGATCATTATAAAAATAAATAGTTTTTATATTGACTGCAGGTTAACAATTCCTAAAAAAAACTTTAAAAAATTAAATGACCCGATGAACTCGTTCATATTTCTGAAGAATGTGAACATGAAAGTTCATTTTTTTAGTGAACGTTCCGAACACTGCATATATACTTATATAACAAATGTATTACTATTTATATTTTGATAGTGAATTATGCTATATGATTTTCATAATACTCATTACTCCATAACTTCAATAAAATATTTAAAAATATATATTTTTTTATTTATCTGGTATTTATGAAAAATGTATAGGTAGGGAAAATTGTAATCACATTTTATTGATGTTAAAATAAAAAATGTAATTTTCATTCATTTATTTTACTGAATGTAAAAATATATAATAATGAAACAGTTCCTAACGTATGTTAACATAGGTACTTCTGCTTTTTAAATTATGACACTCCTGTTAATGAATGTAGGACGTTTCCCCCCGTGCCTTTTCTCCGTGATACAATGGATTTCCCCCCCCCCCACGGCAAAAAATAAAAATATTAAACAATAATAATAATATACAATGCAAATAAATTTGCTCAATATAATTTTATTAAAATAATACATGAATATAATTCAATAATATTTTATAAAAACACTATTGCTATTTGCTAAATGCCAATACAAAATTCACTAAAAATATAAATATTAATACCATTAAACACTACAAAAATACAAGTTATAAAGACTTATGCAAATATGATATGATATGTGAATGATGAGTCTTATGTGTAAAAAAAATATATAAAAATAAAAAATGAATATAAATATTGATGCAGTTGAAATGTCTGTCCGGGGGGGATATGTCCAGTACCGCTTAAATCGCCGGGGGGGGGGGGACGTCCGAATACCCACGTTAATAGTAAGTAATTACTACACAGATATCTATTAATAAGACGCTACGCTGACTGCTGACATTTGCCTCCGTCTTAAAAGTGCGTAATATAGCAAATTTCACACTCGGCAGATCACGCTAAGCTGCGTTAGTTCAAAAATTGGGTGTAAATTGATCTCTTATCAAATTCAAAGGGCATCTCACAGGATTTTAATTTTAAAACAAGTTATGGGTATTTAAGGTATTTTAAAATGTACAAACAATTTACATACATACAACACAACTTGGTACTTACTACCCCAAATTAAGGTTTAGGTGCGTTTTAATTTGCAGTTGTATCATAGAAATAGTAAGTAGGTTAGTAGGTATAGACGTATAGTAATAGTGTGAGCAGTATGGCTTTGCCGACTACAGAACAAATGGTACGACTGCACGTCGGGTATTTTATGCCATATGGTAGGGAAAAAACGCGGGAAACCTTGTGTGTACAATGCATATCAATACGACAATCCATCATCTTGTGTACCTACTACACAATGCGTAGTTCAAGTTGTGCCCGGCTCCATTTCTGCCATTCCGGAGTTCTTCCTTCATCGTTGACCGTTGTTATTGCTGCAGATCGTATGTCTAGTCGTCGTTGAATCGTATAATAGTTATTGTTCCGAATGTATAGCTTTATTAGTTAACCATATTCTTGAAGAGTATTATAATAGTACTAAATTACTATTCGACTGAAGCGTCTGAAGCCGTCCGAAAAGTATACAACAAAGTGCAAACTGCAAACCAACTCATCTAGAGCCATGTAATTATTCATTATTGCTATCGACTTCTGTCTTCGGGTCGATACACACACATTGATTGTTGATTTATCATTATTCATGTCCTTTCGTGTACTGTTACAGATTTACACCTCAATTCTGCGACTTGTCGTTGAAGGCTTTTAATCTGGTGCCTACCCCCCAAACCTCCACAAGCATGTCCAACAACGTGGGAGCATCCAGCGCTAAGCTGTTAGTAAAAAAGCGCGGTAAGTACCTACATTTTGTTGTGTGTTAGAGATAAACTAATGTGAGCATAGCTAGGTGTCAGGTGATATATGAAAGTCCCATGAATATGTAAATTACCTCATACAGATATCTTTCAACCAATTAATTCATCATTAGTATTAATACTATTTCATTATTGTTCGCATCTGTAATTCCATTCAAAGCCCTTTTAAAGATGAAATTCTATAATGTTGAATTTGTTATCTATAAAATGTATTTATTTATTTAGATGGCCGAATGGAAGAAGTAATGATGGACAAGATCACAATGCGAATTGAACAATTATGCGATGGGCTGAATATGGACTTCATCGATCCGGTTATATGGCATTTTATATTATTATTTTATTACATTTATCCATCTTAAACTAATTAGCAATTATGTAAAAAAAATTCAAGTTTCTTTCTAAACAATAAGTGGTATTAATTAATATTTATTATAAAAACGTATAAAACCAAAAGTCAAAAAGAGATAGAGGAGATCATTGTTTCATTAAATATTATTAATAAGTGACTAAAGTATAATTTAACCTTCTACCAAAACAAAACTAATTTAATTCAAATAATGTGAAAAACTCATTATTTGCATAAATTGCAATATTCTATTTTTATCTGGTGATTCAGGTGTTTCAGGAATTTTTTTTACATAATATACCTAATTATCCATTTATTGTTCCCAAATTAGGTTTATATTTTTTTGTTATTTTATTAAAATATTATGTTAACTATATATTTTGTTGTTATTGTCATTTATTAAATATTATATTATATTAAAATACATACAATCAAAAAATTATTATATACATTCATAAAAGTGAACAATCCTGACCTCAAGTTAATTAAGTGTCATACTTAAATGTCTGAAACTAGTTCCTGTATTCTACCCAGAAAATGTATATTTTTTGTTTGACTTTATGGAGAAATCTATACTAGTATAATTTGTTAGTAGTTAACTAGAAAATTAATAATTTACTGAATTTATTTTTCTCACTTTTAGCCCGAAATTACATTATATGTCATTGGTGATATATGCCCTGGTATAAGTACTGTTCAAATTGACAATTTAGCTGCTGAAACAGCTGCTTATTTAACAACAAAACATCCAGATTTTGCTATACTTGCTGCACGTATTGCAATTTCTAATCTTTATAAAGAAACTAAAAACAATTTCAGCGGTAAATTATTTACGTTATTAAATTTATATGTATTATTATTTATATTACCAGCACACATGAATGATCAATTGTTATACTATTACAGATGTAATTTATGATTTGTATAACATGTCAAATGAACAAAATCAAAGACGCATGAAAATTATTTCTGATTTTCATTATGATGTTGTCATGAAAAATGCAGATCGTTTAAATAATGCTATCAAACATGACAGAGATTATAGTTATAGTTATTTTGGATTCAAGGTATGTGGTAGATAGCTTTACAGATTCTATAACAAATACTCATTGTATTGTGTAAATGTGACGTATTTATTCTTATTACATTTTAGACTCTTGAAAAGTCATATTTATTAAAAATTAATGGTAAAGTTGTGGAACGTCCTCAACATTTATTAATGAGGGTTTCAATTGGAATTCATGGTGAAGATATTGATGCAGCTATTGAAACGTATGACTTAATGTCATCAAAGTACTTTACTCATGCTTCACCAACTATGTTCAATGCTGCTACACCTAGACCTCAACTTTCAAGGTAAAATAATAAGTATAAGTAATATTTAATGTGTATTAACATTTTCCGAAATATTTTTTTAGTTGTTTTTTGGTGGCTAATCAATCAGATTCATTAGAAGACTTTGGTAAAACAGTTAAAACATGTGCAAAGATTTCTCAATCTTCTGGTGGTATTGGTATACACCTCCACAATGTTAGTGCAGCTGGTACAACGTGGACCAAATATCCAAAACATGAATCTCATGGTCTTGTTGAACCATTAAAAGTTCTGAATGATTTGGCTCAATATGTTGACCAAGGCGGCAAGGTTAGTTTATTAAATATTTTATTCTACGTTTAAATCTGTTTCTTTATTGTATTTGGTTTTATTAGAGACCTGGGGCAGTTGCTGTTTATATTGAGCCTTGGCACGCTGATGTATATACTTATACAGAGTTACGTAAAAATACTGGTAATAAAGATGAAAAAACTAGAGATTTATTTTTAGCTCTCTGGATACCTGATGAATTTATGAGACGTGTTGAAGCTGATCAACCTTGGAGCTTAATGTGTCCACGTAAATGCCCTGGTCTTTCAGATGTCTGGGGTGATGATTTTGTGAAACTTTATAAAAAGTATGTCCTTAGTATTTATTATTTACTATTAAAATAAATATACTACATTTGCTTATAATAATACGCAATGAATCAATAAAACATTTCTACT